CTAATTTATTGTGTATCATGAAGGTTATTTTTAAATAGGATAAATACACTGGTCCTCTGCATGTGCCTATAGATAGGAATGTGGTCAAACAGGGTTGGTGCACGTCAGGAGGTACCACCTGTAGTCTACTTACAGGATGCAGCCAGAGGTGACCTGCAGCCCATGTTTGAGAATCCCAATCCACATTAAAAATTACACATAATAAAACATAAAAGCAGCTCATGAGGCAAGATAAATAACAAACACTGTGCAGATGTCTCCGTTAATCCTGTTACACAGCAGGTAGAGTCGGATCAACCTCACTGTGGCTGTTGTCACTGTTAAGTTACAGTTTCTCCAAACGAACAACTTTCACGCAGACATACCTTCGTTACTGCCGTGGGGATATACGTTGTGTCTGCTTTTGCATTTTATGGTGGTTTGATCAGCTTTGAAAGCAGCTGTAGGTGGAGATAAAGTGGGTGACACATCCACTTGTGCTCTCTGGAGGACCACCGTCAGTTTCACCATAAACACAGTGGTTACAGTGTGTAGTAAACTGTTTCTGTCGTTTAACAGTGGATTATTTTCCCCTTTTTGTTAGTTTGGCTGGGAAGCAGCAATCATCAACTTTGTAATGGCTCTCTGCTTGCTGTTAAAGCATTCATAGTCCACAGTATGTTCAGTCTGCAGAAATACTGCTTTGCAAAAAAGTATCATGTGGAAGTAACATGGCAACTGTGGTTGCCAAATGAAGATTACAGTATGTCATTTCTATGTACTTGTTCCTGTCCTAAGACTCATACACTATAGCCCACCTCTGCTTATTGCACACAGTCTAATCTGGAATGGGCAGTGGAGGGAGCATAGCAGAGGAATGCACAATATCTGTTGCCTTGGCTACTGCAAGTGGCTGGTCACCCATATCTCAGGCTGGCTCAAAACTCATTGCAGCTCCCTCTCCGCTAAATAAAAACACAGGTCTGAAAAAGTATAGAAACCCCATCTTGTAACATTGAGCAGTCTTAGTATCCAGTTCATGTTCTGCAAAACATGAAATGTAGAGCATTGAACAGCATTCACTGTACACTTTTGTTTGACAGCTACGTATTTTGAAGGGGCAATCCACCAATTTAACACATGAATGTTTTACATGTCACAAGAAGCGCTACTTAGTCCTTGAAAAGTAGTACATTGTTCTCTGTGGCTCTGAGCAGAGTTCCTATAATATGAAAAATAAAATACTTGGCTACAAAGAACTGCTGGTTTAGGCTAATCTTTAACAATAGTGTGTAGGTTCACCATAGACTTTTATGTAAAATCACAATCTGCAAAGTGGCCTTCCTACAGTAGTTTGCCTAGCCCCACTATCAAATTAATGTAGCTGAATAAAAAGCAAGTAAAGCTTTTTGCAGCATTAAAATGGGTAAAGTAAAAGCACCTCAAAATGTAATTATGTACACTACTTGAGTAACTGTGCTTAATATCATTAGTAAACCGGTAAAATAGCAAATAAAAAGTAAGTCCCTTCACATTGTCACCTATAACCCTATTTATATGGATGTCTAAATGTTGCACTTGAAGCTAGTTCTAGAAACATGATGGTTTAGCTCTCCAGCAGCCTACACACCCCAGATCTCACAGTAGCAGTACACATTCTGGATGGGAAAACTAGGATTTTTGCAGGATGATCAAGTCATGTCAAAGTGTTTATTTGTCATATGCACAGTTAGGAAACGTGTTTCCCTGTACAATGAAATTCTTACTTTGCTGTCCACATGAATGCCATGAAATATAAAGTAGATAAATAAGTAACACTAAATCTAAGGCACTTAAGCAGCAAATGCAGAGATATAATAAAAATATATAAGAATATAATAGAGAATGTATGCTGCATGGGAGCAGCATGGGCAGCAGTCAGCAGTCAATGTGCAATTATGCATGTGCAAACTGAGAATGTAAACAGTACAGGTCGACAGTACATGACATATTTCCTGGTAATAAACTCCTCAGCTGTTTAGGAGTCTGATGGCAGAGGGAAAGAAAGAGTTTTTCAGTCTAGTGGTCCTACATTTCACACTTCTGAACCT